CATAAAATAAAAAATTTATATCTTTATGTTTGAAGCCTGAAATGTGGCAAAAGGTTGAAAAGTTCAAGGGGGCCGAATACTTTCGCAAGGCACTGTATATGCTACTTAAGTTTAGTTTTTACTGAATTCATTTTTCTCTATATTAAGGCAGTGTGAGGAAGGAAAAATCAAGATGAATAAATAATGGCAGGCAAGGAAAAGACTGTTTTGGTTGTTCTGGTGATCATGTTTACAATCAGGACATTTAAATGTATGTGCTCTTCCGTACAGAAACCTGCTTAAGAGGCTGCAAGGTGTTAACTGAAACCTATGGCAAGATCTGGAAAATGAGTTTGGGTTATTTTCTATAAAAATGTAAAATCATCTTCATACTGTGGGATTTTTTTCACTATCTCACCTTCATTACCAGTAATGGAATGAAAACTCTCCCACAAGACAAACAAACCATTTTCCCTGCACTTCTACAAAGCTGACAAGCACAGTTCTCTTCTACAAAAATGTGAAACCTATTGGCTCAATAAATGCTGCTATTCCCGTCTCTACACACCAGTAAAACAAACGTATGGAAGACATTTCTGCTGGACAGACAGATGCCACTGAGTATCGGTGGCGAGTGAATCCATAAAGATAACAGGTGGAATTATGAAGGCGATGGTCTAGTGTGGTTTACTATCACTACTTCGCTTACACTGTCCCTCCCTGGTTTTTCTGTGCTGTACCTGGTAGTACTTGATGGCCTTGGTGAGAGGCTCCACGTGCACGGTCTCGTCCAGCTGGTCCTTGTGCAGCAGGTCAATGAGGAAGTCCAGGGAGCGCTCGTGGACACTCATCTCGGGGTACAGCAGGCCGATCTTCTTGTAGACCTCCACACTGCACTGGTTCAGAGCTCTGCAGGGCAGGAAGAACCAAGCTCAGAGCCTGCTGACCGAGAGGACACCCTGCTCTACCAGCAAGCCCCCAACACTACGAAAGTCCTGAAGATGTTCCAGATTAAGGAGAAACATGAAACCTGCTAACATAAAGCTGCGCCACAGTCTAGGAACAAAACAGTTAACAGTGTGCAGCCACTGATCGTTTCAGTTTAAAATGGTATTAAAAGTCCTGAAAAAATCATAAGCACTTCATGAGATACACATCTTGCTCGTGTATAAACTTTGACCTTATGTGGGAAAAACTAAAGATTAAAACATTTTTATTGGATAAACAAGGTTATCAAAAAATCATACCGTTGAACAAATGTGTGCCTCTTACTCTATTCCAGAGTAATAAAATAGCATTAACATCACCCCTGAAGGAATAAAACAGCTGCTCATATGTTGAGGATTCTATAAGAATTTCAACTCAATAATGCTTGAAGCACTTCCCAGACACCAGTCAAAGTCTGTTGAATCATACTGCAAAGTGAAAGAGACAGCTGCTAGACGTAGCATCCGAACTTTACAATCACGTGTTAGTGAAAAAATGTACAGGGGCTAACACAATCCCAAATACTCTTTCATCTTTAAAAAACAGCCAAAAGGAAGGTTTAAGGCACTGATGAAAAGCCAGGGTTTTTAGTATCAGTGTACCAAACAGTCACCACAGCAGGTTTAACACTGGTGTTAAACTGAAATATGGAGGCCTAAGACACCAAACTAGCACATCCAGCCTCCAGCCTCTCATGTACTGTATGAGTACTCCATCTAGTGGCCACATGCTGGTGATCAAGCTCTCCCTGACTGCTATCGCCCTTTCGACGAAACGTTAAAAAAACCCACTGGATCATTAAAAGAGCTAAATTGAGCAACTTTACTTCCCGTTTTAATTTTAAATAAAATTTAAAAAAACAAAAACTGTGTCAGTTTTGAAAAAGGACTCATAATTACATATTTCAAAAAGGAGAGACACTACGGCCGAGTTGCATTTAGTACCTACCAAGGGGAAACATCACCCGATGAACACATTTAAAAAGTTTATTATCACGGTATATTTTTCTGCATCTGATTTATTAATATTTCACTTTTCCAACACTAGTTTTAAAACGGTTGTTAAAATGCTCTCTCGCAGCAAGTGCGAGCCCGGCCCGCGGGAGGTACTGTACGTACTGCTCGTATTTGTGCAGCGTCGCCTGCAGCAGGCTGAGAGAGTAGACCAGGCCCGCGGCGAAGCTCAGCTGCTCGCCCGCCGCCCCGCGCAGGCCGGCGCGCTCCACGCCGCTCTCGTTCAGGTCGAACTTCTCCTGGGCCTGCTTGCTGATCAGCTCCGCCTGCCACACACACGCACACACGCACACGCACACGCCAGGGTCAGAGCAGCCTCTCCGCAGCTGCGGCCGGAGGTGCGCGCCGGAGGCCCAGACGGGGCACACGCCTGGCCGGCGGCTGTTACACGCAGGCAACAAAGGACAGAAAGCAGCAGACGCTGACCTTGAAGAGGCTACCCATGAAAAAGACGATGGTGTAAATGCTGACACATCCTTTATATCTTCTAAACAATGTGGTGAAGGAATAAAAAAAGCAAAGAGTGTTAGGATGTATAGTGCAGAGTAAAATTTAAAGAAGGGCATTAGTTAGACCTCATTTAGAATAATGTGTACAATGCTTGGCACCTCGTTATAAAACAGATATTGCTCCATTCCAAGGGACAGCATTCTATTAAACTCCCATGATATACAACCAAACGAGCAAGACGGGCTGAAAGGTCTCATCTCGTTAATAACCTTTCTAATGACCCGTTCATGACACCCCGTGAGGCTCTTGCAGACAGTTATAAGCTGTGAATAGAGAGAGGGTACCAAAGCTCTCAAGCAGAGCTCCAGTATACCTTGCAGATGAGCCTGGGGATGAGCAGTAGCACCAGAATACAGTCGTGGTCTCCCCCGTGGCGCAGAAACGAGTTCGGCATGAAGGACGTGAGCAGAGACACCTGCCTATTGGCCTGGTTCACCTCCATCTTCCTCAGCTCCATCTCAATACCCTGTGAACGCAGAGGGCATGGGTATACATGAAGCTTTTGTTCCAGTGTTTAGGATGTGGGTGAAACAAGGTGACTAATTAGGTAATAACAGGTCAGTAATTAAGAAATCAGTAAAATTATTTTCAGTCCAAATTTTCATAAACTATTATTAATAGATCAAGTAATGATCCTTCCAGATTAAAATAAAATACAGGATCCTGATTCTTTATTTAAAGGCTCAGAAAATTATCCAAACCAGAGCCCCAAAATGATTTATGGTTAACCAACCTGGATGAAGAACAGTGAGGTTATAAACTGAGGGTCAATTTCTTTTTTGCAATTTCTTCTTTGAATAACATAAAAAATGCTGCACAAAACCCTTCTTTTATTTATAACCCTGACAAGAAATTGAGGACAGCTTTATTTTCTAAATACTCGACCCTCCTCTAAAGCTGAAAAGCAGCGTGTGCCCAGCTCTAGGTGACTCAGCTCAGCACTCACCTTGGCGTATGCCTTGGTTTCTGCAAACTTAATCTTGAAGTCAAACATCTCAGCTGGGGGCTGCTGCTGCTGCTCCACTGACGCCTCCTGTCGGCTCATCAGATCTCGGTTCACCTCCTTAAAACACAGCACGCAGTTAGGGACTCAGGAGGGGGCAGGCACAGCCGTCTGCATGTGACCACAGCTTTCTGTCAAGCATGGGTGCAGTCTTTTCCATGTGTGCACAGCCCTCTAACGGAGATGGGGAAAACCACATTTCTATACAGCTCTTTGTTAGGGATGGACACAGTCATATGTGCACAAGTACCTCTGACAGGGAGAGACACAGCCGTGTGTGTGCTCAGAGCTCTGACAGGGAGAGACACAGTGATGTGTGTGTGCTCAGAGCTCTGACAGGGA